CTACGCTAGTGGGTTTATTTGGTCTAAAACTTTAATGTTGTTGTTGTTGTTATTATTATTATTATTAATAAAAATTTTTATTCATTTTAATCTTAAATGAAGCACAAGGGTGGCTCTGGTCCATCTCAGGTAAGGACTCCAACGTATTGAAGGATTTAAAATGAAAGGGAACAGAAAGGTGATCTATAATAGCATTCAGAACAAAAATATCTTCATTGGCTTCCCATTGCAATTAAACTACCAAATACAAACACCAAAAGAGGTTAAAGTTAAGTAGAAGCTAACCTTGCTATAAATGAGGCATAGTTCATAACATTTATAGATTCTCTTGGTAGGAATATAATATCACAGATTCAAAGGGGAAGAAGTCAAATAATAATAATAATGAAAAATGGAGCACAAACATAATGAAATGTCAGACAATACTTTTCAATGGGAATCATAACTACAAGTGAAATCTTAGGCAATATGTACCACTTACACAAACATAATGAAATGTCATGACAACAAATAAACCAAAACAGGTTGCGAGAAATTGAAGCCAAAAGACAAAGGAGCAGAGACCACCATACCCACCCAGAATCCATTTTCATGTGATGGGCATTGAAGAAAAACACTATAGATGGTATCAAAGTGAGACAGAGACTTGCATGTCTTCGGAGTCAACGTCAACCAGTGCCACAGTTGCAAACTTAGACACATCCCTTGCTGCTTTAAAAAGCTGTATCAACAATGCGCCCATAAAAAAATGATAATGGGAAAGTATGAAATTAACAAATAAAAAATATGATTTTGATTTTAAAAAAGAAAACAAAAAAAAAAAAAAATTTGATCAAAAGATTAAAAAAATTATAAAAAATCTTCTCATCTCCTTCTCGTTAAAATCTTATAAAATTTCTTCTCTTTTCTTTGTTTTTCCCTTCAAATAAATATTATATTATTTAACAATAAAATAGAGAATTTCAAACTTGGGTATGAGGACTCTCTTGAGCATCCACAAGAAGAAGGGAGTTAAGATTCTCTACATTTTTTCTCTCTATTTTATCGTCCATTTCTTCATTTAACCATTAAAATTACCATAATCTAAATTTAATTTTACAATTATTAATACTATTAAAAATTTTAATGACTATGATTTTGTCCATTTATCAGAAATGGAGAGAATCCATTCTGACTAGAAAGTAATTGAGATATTATTAGCCTTATTGGTACATATCTCAATCTAAACTTGTGCATCGAATAGTCAGATCTATCCTATTAATCCAAAATGTTATCATGAGAAAAGTGGAAATTTGATCAACTCAAATCAATAGTTCCAACAAAAAAAAAAACTGCCTAAATTCAATAAGTAAAATGGAAGTTTGAATAAAACGATGGGTAATTTAAAACCATCTCCAAAGTATTTCAGATTTTATAACTCACATCAAACAAGGAAACTTGAAAATTTTATGACTAATTTAATGTTACTCTGGCTCATGACAAAACCTTAGGTTAATAATTTCATGTAATGATATTCAATAAACAAGCAAATGATGAACAATATAAAATTACTAATTCACTATTATGAACAAACCTAAGCCATATTTACTCTATAAACACATGTATATCCATGTCCAACCTTGCATCTAACACTTGAAATTTCTTAAAAGTCCAACTCAACACACACACAAGATCAAATCAAGGTAAGGATGCAGGGCTATCAATTCAGAATAACAGAATATCCAAACTGATATTTGTAGGAAACATGTTTCATAGACTGCCATGGACTGCTAAAAGATTTGAGATTGGATGTGTATTTTTCAGTTCTGGCGTATGCCTAAAAAGATTATCCTACAAAATATCATATTTAAGAATGATAAATCTGTTGACTCAATAAAAATAGACATGCATTAATATCAAAGTCTAGTAAATTATCATATTGATATTATTACAGTCACAATATATCCAAATGATTGATTCAAACACTGTAAACAGTATAATTTTCAACCCCGCGAAGTGCAATGCATGAAAACCAAACTATTTGATGTTACCTTAATTAAAAAAGAGAACAATAAGTATAGCATAAAAGAGATTATGACAATAATTAAAGTCTTAGACTTCTTGAGTCCCAAAAAATAATTATTGATCCTGCATTAATTACAATAACACCTTCGTTGATCCCCACAGGTGGCCAAATGCCAAAATGCTTTACATATACGTCAATTTACATAAGATATGGATGTGTATAGTACTCTCAAATGTTATTGTTCAAACACTTTTGCCAAATTGGGAAATAGTAAAATGCAAGAGTGGGGTCTTAAGAAGGATATGTGGTACGGGACGTACAATGCTACGGTTATCTTGTTAGATACGTTTGTTTTCCGTTAAAGAATATGTGGCACTATCTATCTAAACATAACGCTGGAACCCAGTTCCTATTCTTAAAATTTTTACAGTACGTAACATAAAACAAGACAAAGGTGGAAAATTTACACATTTTGGCTTTCCTAGATTCTCAAGACTGGTCTTAAAGTTGTAGGCTCTTAGTGAATTTATTTTGAACCAAAGTGTGCCCCATAAGGTTCAACATGATGGTCACGGCACAATGAGCACTGACTGAACAAGGCCACCACACAACCACGAAAGATAGAAAAAGAAGAATAGAAAAGCAACTTAAAGAAGATAAAAGCAAAAAACGAGTTGTAATTGTTACAGATAGTATCCCCCATCTTTGAGATATTTGCTTTATCTAATACTACAATTTTAGTGATGTAAAACAAGAGCATGCCTGAATTATGATCTAGCCAAATTGAGTGATCAATTCTTCTTGCTCAAAACACCCACACAAAGAAAAGAAAAGAAAATGTTGGTGAAGATTATGTGGCATTATTTAATTTGAAGAATGAATTGCAAATTTGGAACATATTTGGTTCACGTTTGATTGGCAGGACCAAAGTTGGTGATAAGATTCGTTGGCTGCTATAAATTTTTTAACAAAAGAAATGAAAAAAAGTTCGAGCTACAAAGAGAATGTCACCTAAACATAAGCTAAAGTGAGATGCTTCTTTGTTCTGCTGCCTTTGATTTTAAAATTGGGGTGTGGTCATCTTGAGTTATAATCATGAATAGAGTGTGTTAGAATATATGCTTATTTGCTTTGTTCAAAAGAGATTAAAAAAAAATTATAATCAGACGCCAGTTTCCCTGTAGTCCCCACCCGGGGGCCATATCTGTCAGTTCCTTCTCAATTTGCTACAACATATGAATAAAGAATCTGATCCATTTGGTGGCTGTGATGTCATATTCTAAAAAATTTCATATCATAGTTATGTTCATTTTCTGCTATCCTTGACGACTATTATCAAACTCTTGGTAAGATTTATTAGAAAACTAGAAAAATTAAGTTTAACTTACTCTTAAAAGTTAGTTTGAGAATTTTTCAAACCTTATAAATAGTATTTTGACTCAGTTTTGAGTGGATGTGAGACATTTTAACAAGATTAGTGGTGAGAAACATTAAAAAAAGAACTTTGTACATTCCAAAACATATAAAAACTAAAATTATTTTTTCTGATAGTGTTTTGAAGTTAGGGTGATGGGATTTTGGTTTTGGAAAAGATAGGATCGAACCTACTTATTTGACACCCATATCCTCTAACTTGACCATTTGGGCTTATTAACCATGACAAAAAGAGATTAACACAAAAACTTCTCAAGAGGATACCCATTTTAATGCTACTTTTATCCAAACACATTTAACTGCGTAATTCTAATGGAATTCAATGCATCAGTACCAGCATAATCACGTCTGGGTATTTTTCTCTTGTAGTGAAGGATGAATGAACTAAATAATGCACAAGTGAGAGTCTTGAATAAACGAAATTGAAACTGAGTATTTTAAATTATTCTACATAACTTAAAAGCAAACGGGGCTCTCATCTATCGTTGTGAAACTGGATATACAATTTCTTTTTTTTTTTTTAATATTTTGATGTACCACTAAATCAGGATATCCTTTTTATATTCAAAATAGAATTTTAGGATGCATAAATATAAAAAGTCCATTTAGTTAATTTTTAATAATTCAAATAAAGAAACCATTTCTTCAGTATAATCTCAGGGAACCCACAATCCTATGTCCATCCTTAGCATTATGGGTACAGTCCGTCCATTTCATGTATCTCTGGCATTCTTCAATTACTCAGTCATATCTTAGTTGCGGAATAAGTCCATTTAGTCTACTAAATCAAAAGTTCTGTGGGCTAAAATGCCTCCAAAGACCCTGTTAATATGACCCTTTTAATACTCCGAATACTCCTAAATCTCATTAACTTTAAAACGATTTAGAATCTAGATCTGTTAATATCATGATAAATTTAATCTCAAAATTTGAATAACTTTACAACAAAAGAACTATGTCATAAAATTAACAAATAACCGAATCATGCTACACACAATTTCACTTTCAAAAACAAAACTAGACACTTGCTCATTCCATTTTAGTCCCTACGTCGGTTAGGGATAAAAAATTAACCAGATTAACTTAGGCTTTATAAAACCTAAGTTTGATTTTCAAATTTGAAGCTTAAACTTAATCTATCAACCTAATTTGAGTTATTATTTAAAAATTGAATTTAACTCGCAAGCTTATTTTTGTATAGAAAGCTTTTAGACAAGCCAATTTTATTTTTAATCAAACTAATAAGACTAACTTAAGTATAAATCATCAAACTTAAACTTCTGAATAAAACAAGAAAATTTGTATGTTCACACTCACATTTCTAGTGATAAGTGAGCAAAGAAAAGAGAGAAAAAAGAGAAAAAGAAGATAAAGAAAGTAAAATATGTAATATCATATAATAAAAAAATATTAAAAAATAAGATAAAAATAATTTTTTAATAAAAATTGATAAAAACATGTATAATCTAAAAATATCATAATAATAAGTCTACATTGTATTATGCTATTTATGTTTACTTAAATAGATTGGCCTTGTTAAATCATTAATCGTTATTTTTCACATAAATCTCTTATTATATAGAATGGATGGATTCAAATACATTCATGGATAAATTGAATGGATGATAATGGATTCATGTATCGTTTTACCACCCCTAGTATGTACATACATTACAGCTGCGAAAATCAAGAGTAATAATGCTCGGCATTACAACAAGCCTTCTTTAATACAGCGTACACGTCATGGGGTTTCATACATAAATCATACAAACTACACTTCTTCCTGTTGTACGGTAGGTCCTGGTGCTATTGCAAATTGTAGACCTCTACGTTGCCCAGATTGTAGAACAAAAGCAACTTGTGTTGCTGCTAGTGCTGCAGCCTCCTGTTTCACCATAAAACAAAATCGTCAGAATTTCATAAATACACGGGGAGAAATCCTTCCACGTGTTGCAGTTTCCCAGATGCACTAGCAAAAGAAGTATAAAGCCAAACAATGTATGCAGCCTAAATCGGAACCATATAGCATTGTTATTCTGAACATGAATGATGAACTGACTACCCAAACCCGAACATAAATTAGTAACAACTACAATGAAAACTGACCTGTCTTTGTCGCCGACGTTGCAGAATACTGATTGCCCAAGCCATAATATAGCAAGGTAATAAAAATCCAGCAGCTCGAAGCAAGAAAAGCTGCAGAAAACGGTGAGCTAATTAGGTTGGCTTCACATTACATTTGAAATCAATACAATATCGGAAATAGAAACAACTAAACCAAAAGAAACTAGAATCACTTACAGAGAAAAAATTGGAAGGATCATCTTCAGAAGAATCACCATCTGAGACAGAAAGTGCATGCCGCAAGAGTAAAAGGGCCATCAACTGCACGAAAAAAAAAAACATGCAAATCAGGCTTAAAATCATGTTCACTAACTAGCTTATTGAAAGTCAATATAAATGGGGAACAAAAGACTGGGTGCACTCGGGCTCAAAGGAAGTATAATTGATTCTTAAAAATTCTGAATATAAATTTAGTATTCAAATGAAACTATAGCTTTGATATTTTCAAGGTAGTATTTGGCCTAGCTTATTTTGGGCTTCTCTTTTTCTTAAAAGTAGTTGTGCCTAGCACAATTCTACGAAAGCTCTAAAAAATAAAGGAACTTTTTTAATAAAGAAAACGTAAAAAATAGCATTTAAATAAACTAATTTCAGGAATTTCCCTTCTCTGTTATCAATTCCAAATCCCAAACAGTTTTTAATTTAAATATAACTTTTAAGCTAGAAAATTATAAAACAACTTTAACCCTTTAACTTTAATTTTAAAATTCTTAATTCATATTTTTAACTTTATCTTTAAAATAACATTTTAAGATCCCTTAGCGTATATCCAGTGGCATGGCCACAGTTCTATTTGGTAAAAAGAAGCGCAAGGTTAATGCCCTACAATTAGAGCAGCTGAGCGGCAAAATGCAGCTCCACTAGCATTGGAAGCAGCATATTCATCATATTCAGCATCCAAGAACTGGCGCTCTGCCTCTGCAATTGCCAGGAGTCGAGGATCACGCAAGTCCAAAGGTGTGCCTGATATTGTCCAGCCACCTCTGCAAGAATGGTAACAACTCATTAAAAGGAGACAAGTTCCAAATGTCTATAAATAAATTGCCAGGTAGAACATATTCAAATACTGTTTTAATAGAAATTTTCAGCTTACCCAATATCAATGGTAGTTTCTTCAGGATTGGGGCGAGGTGGGGGGGCAGTATACCCAGGTTGATAAGGCTGAGAGTTGCATGAAAAAAGGAAAAAGAGAGAAAAAAAAAACATCAAAATGAGCACCAAATTAATATATTGTCAATAATATAAATACACACACGATAATGAGCATTCGGTTCAATCCAAAAGGCAAAAAATACATGAGCAATCTGAACACTATCACAACCAATGAACAAAAAAGCTTTAGATATATTTTACAATTACATACATGCAAATTTTCATGTTCGCCACATTTTTTCCTTTTCTTAGACAATGCAAGATGTTAAGGTGAATGACACAAATGCATCCTCAGACAGGCATCTAAAACTCCAGAATATCTTGATTCCCTATGCATGATGCCCATGCTTGTTACCTGGACAGCAGGCATCCATATATCCCATCCTTAAATCCAGTTTAGCTGTTTTAAAAGAATCATAATTTCACAACTAAACTAAGAATCAAGACTCGAGAGTCCTATAGATTTTCAGTTTAGCCATCCATCACACAAAGTCTAGGAATAGGAATATAAAGTGGTTTCGAATTGTGACACCAAATACACAGATCATTTTATACCCATCCATATTACACCTTGGCATCTTATATACAATTACTTGGGCCCAACTTTAAGTGCTGGAAGCCCTATTGTGAGAGGAGGTTATTTAAGAAGGGTTAAAGGGAAGGGTATCACAAGGAGAGAATTCAGTTAGACGTACTGTTGGCAGATCATTTTTCAAAAACCAGGCATGACAAGGTCCAGATTTCTGTTAGAGGGAGCACATTCTTGTAGATGGTATTTAGCCTGGAGGATGTCAAATATGAGAGTAAAGGTTATAGGAGTATGTAACTACTTCTGAATTAATGCTATAAGCTTGGGGCAAGATCTTGCACGAGTTGTCCTGGTAATCTTTTACTGTTTCCATACTAATATCCAATGTCAACAGGAAATTCTAGTTGTAACTACTTTTCTATTGAGAGTGATTAATCAAGAATGCAGATAGTTATTCACTCTGTCACACTATACCCACGAGTGAAGAACAACAAACTATTATGCAGGAGTGTAAATATAAAAGAAGAAAATGCAGACAAATTTTGTGGGGAGCTACAGCCTCTCCTCCCAGGGATCCAAGATTCTGATGTGCCAAATTTTGACTCAACAAAGAGCTAGACACTCATCAAACAAGAATTCACATAATTTCCCATCGTCATGACCTTACAATAACATAAATGTAATGAAATATGAAAACTATTGTCAAAAAAGCATACCTGATGACATATCTCACAAGTTATGTCTCCTTTCTCATTGCACCAATGCTGAACACATTTTCTGTGAGCATACTGTGAAAAATCAAATGGCAACAGTTCAAAAATTAAGAACACCAATCTATATATGAAAGAAATAAAAGTCAATGCCATATTATCACACAAACAATATTCCTCCATCCTTCTTTTGCATTTTCCTCCATCTAAAGCTGGCTTAATAATGCATTTACCAGCTCAATAGAGAGAATCGGGAAGCAGTTTCTTACAAGAACGTTTAGTCATCATATCTCAATTAAAAAGTGAATCTAACTTGTTAACCAAGTTAAAAGAAACTTTCATAAACACATTTTGATTATGGTAGCATGACGTAATCAGAAGAGTACATATTCAGTGTCTCACAAAACTTAAAACCTTCAACCCAAACCCTAAGAAGATTAATAACACAAAAAAAAACCCAAATAAGAAAACTAAGACACCTTCCAGTTTCCACATTGATCATGCATTTAAAAAAACACACAATTTATAATCCAAAAAAGCAGAAATATTAAAACTAACATACAAATAGAACTATTTCTTTTCACTTTCTAATCTCCCAACGCCAAACTAAATCAGACCCGAAATTCATAAATTAAAAGAAAAAAAAGAAAAGAAAATCATTAAAGAAAGAAATTGATACCTTAAGACTACCGCTACAGGCACAGGGCGTCTCCAAATTGGAAACGCCGTCCTCCTCCTGGCAGATGCGGCACTCCGCCATCTGGATCAGCGGCTCCTCCTCATCGCAACCCTCGCCGTCGTGTTCCGCCGCCGGAGCGGAGCCGGAGGTCCCGGCGGCAGCATCCGCAGCGGCCGGAGACGGAGAGGGTTCGGAAGGAAGCTGCGCGGGCTGCGCCACCGGGTCAACGGGGACAGGACGCACGAGATGGTCAACGAAAAGCACCAAGTGGTCGCTCATTGAAACAATGAAACTCAAATCAAAACCCTAACGACAGAACAAATGACAGATCGAAATTACAGAGGGAAAATGAGAAAGAAAATTGGAAAAAGAGGAAATCGCGCGGTGGAGAAGCAGATCTCAGGGCTTCCGGAGAAAATGAGAAAAAATCTTACCGGAAATAAGAAATCGAAGAACGAGAGAAAGAGAGAGAGAGAGGAGAAATGCAATTGAAACAGTGTGATGCGTTGGGCGTTTTCTTCTTCTTTTAATTGTTATTATTTGAATTTTATAAAAGTTTGCTTGGAAAATGGTTAAAGAAAAGTATGGTGCATTGCTATGCTATGTTGCTATATTGTCATGCTCCAGTCCTTCAACGTTATCCCAGCACGTGCGAAGGGTCATTTCGTTATTTCATGTGTCTTATGCGTTGCCGCGTAAACGGCCGTTCCGTTTGGTCTGTTCCTACCCCATCCATTTATTACCAAATGCGTCGTTGTTTACACTGTTACACCTTCTTTGCTGCTGGATTTTTTGTATTTTAAATTTCATCATTTTTACAATGCATTAATAGCATTGAATCTTATAATGTTTAATGATTTTTAACTTTTTTAATATATATCAATGAATACATTAAAATATCATTTTCAATATATTTTTATAAAATTTAAAGATTTCTAGATATAACAATTATCATTAATAGTTGTGTGGAATGAAATGAATGAATGTCAAGCTTGACCAAAGAATATTGAATAACATTCCAATCCTTTTTTATGTTTTTTTTTTCATTCTTATTAATATTGAATAATTTAAACTCAAAATCGAGATTAATGATTCAGTTGAAATAACTTTATCTTAGGATGTTTCTTTAATATTAATTTTAAGTATAATATAATAAATTATTATCTTTTATGTTTTTATGTACTAAAGCTTAATTTTTAATAGTTTTATCATTTTTATTTTTTTTAAAATCACCTTTAAGTATTTATGTTAATATTTAAATAATTATCCAAAAAGATAGTTTATGAATATAATTCTAAAGTCTTAACCAGAACCTAGATGGTATGTTAATCTTCTATATGTGTGTGTATTTCTTCCTTTTTTTCCACGATGTTTTGTTTCTCATCTTACTTTTGTCTCTTATGTAGGGGTGATTGCTTAAACCTCGTAATAAATTATGCAAAACAAATGCCAACTCTTTATCCTTACTTGCGAATCATGCTGCAATATGGAAAAAGAAATACAAGCAAAGATTAAGTAATTAGTTTTATGCATGCAATACCACAGCTCATAGAGTTCATTGTAATGGGTAGTTTTATCCAAAGCGGATGACAAAGTCAAGTTTTTGGTTTGAAAAGCTTTTGCAGTATAAATAATGCAAATTTAAAAGAGTAAGGCACCCAACAACCCAAGTGCAAATTGTTGCTTGTGAATTCAACCATACTAATAAAAAATGCCAACCAAGGAATGAATATGCATTTCAGTTGAGAGATACGACAATAATTCATGTCTTGTATTTTGTAGCCAGTTGTCTTTCCAGAGACTTATTTAAGGATTGAAGAAACAGTAAAAGTTTTGTTATAAAGACTGGTTTTGAAGTGGAAGAGCCAATAGAATTTGGTTTTGAAGAAGATTAAACAAGACATGATCATGCATTACAGTAGTGATCAACCAATTCTAATTAATTCTGTGGATCCTTCAAGACACATGCAATTGTTCAAGTTGAAGTTGAAGTTGAAGCCTTAACAACAAAAATGAGATCATGGACATACAAGAGGTGGGTCAAGTCAAGGGTATATCTGACATTTCTGTAGTAAAAATAATATCCACTCGCATCTATGATCAAACTTGTATATTCAGCTTCATATATGAAACAACAAATTCATATTATCATCCATTGATATTAAAAAGAACAGTATTGATGAAAAAAGAACAGTATCTGACATACAGTGTTGAAGGTGTTATTTTCATTAGTATCATTGTTATTTTCAATTTTTATATTTATTTTCTAATTTTAAAATCTTATCTTTTTAATGTAGTCAGATTTAATATAATAAAATATTTTTTATTTTTTAAACTTAGAAAATTTATTAAATTTAAATTTCGTAAGAGAGTGCTATCCAATCAAATATGATTTATCCATAAACTGAAATAGAACTATTTTTATTAACTGTATATTGGATTAAATTTACATGATGAAATCAATGTAACTGAAAAAATAATTCTTAAAATTCATTGAGTTCTTCCCCGGAAAACTACGAAAGTCATAAGGTTCAATCCTGGAAGAGAGAGCAAGAAAATGACTAAACATAAAGAAATTAATTCATGACCCTATAGCTACGGCAAAGAAGGGAACAGAACAATTTCTTGCTCGCACCTTTTGCACAGAAAAATATGGGGAATTTCTTCATCATTAGGAATGCGAACACACCTTGTGTGCTGCCAAATTTCACAAATATCACACGTTACCATCCTCTCACCATCATCTTCTTTAGTTCCACAAGTGCAATCCACAATGCCATTGTTAGGATCACATTCACATATTTGCTCAATCATGTTTATGCCCATGTCACCCCCTTGCCAACCCTCTAGTACAACTTTTCCACCCACTTCAATTACCCCCAAAATCATGTCATTCCCATTATTGGCATTCAAATTCCCAGTTGATTCCACCACAAAACTCCTTAACCCCCAATAAATTTCTCTGAAATTCCTTTCAACTTCTATCTTCAAATCATTAATTGTAGCACTACTTTTCAATGTGATACATTCATAGGGTGGCATAATTGCCTTGTTAAAAGAATACTCATCAGGGCCACCTTTGTTCCTCAACAAAATTGTACAATAAAGGTTGAGTTTTCCTTCTGAGCCCAATTCAACTTGATAAGGAAAATCTCCAAAGTAATCTTTTATAAAATACTTGCCGTCAAGAATTATCCTAGCTGCCAACGGTATAGCTGAGAGAAATTCTGATCCCATCATTGGTTTTGTGTCTATAAGAATATACTTGTATAAATAAATCATGTCCTTCATTAATTGAGCCCTTGTGATCTTGTACTTGTCCTTAACTTTATTATTATTGCTCATGACCAAGCCTTCATTAAAAGGGTACACATTAGAAATATCTTCTAAGCAATACTCCAAAACTTTGGTTACAGGGTTCAAGCTTCTCCGAACCAAGTAGTTTCCTACAACATGGTTTCCTAGTGACTTCAACACAAAATCTAGCAAACCAGTGTCACCAATGTAAGCACGTGCAGCATCTCTAACTTCTTGCCTTGAAATCCATCTAAATTCTGTTCTTTTCAAGGCCTCAACAATGACCCTTGTTGCCATTTCAATCCTTTTAGGGGACCAACGACAATTGAATTCAATCAAGGCACTTGTGTTGTAGGAACCAATGCATGTTTCACGGGGAAGGCGTGATTTGAGGTCTAACATGTAACGAAATAGGTCACCAAGGGTCACTAGAGACTGATCAGAAAGTGTTTGGTACCTTGAGAATATGAGTGGAATGTCATGGTTGGAATTGCCAATGTGGTGTATGAGTAGGTAAAGTGGCATGCTTCTTATTGCCTCTATGGCCTTTTGGTACATAGATTGTGTTACTCCAAAACATCCTCTACTAAATTTGTAACCCCATCTACCAAACCATGGCTCACTGTATGCTATTCCGTTGACAAGCCTCAGTTCCATTCCTCTTTTCTGCGAAATGTCATTCAAACTCACTTTCCTATCATATAAATATAGATTAATTAGTTAGTCTTTCTTTAATTGTTGGGGAAATTAGAGTTATGAGGTTACACAGTTTGTATTCTTTTTGTGCAAAGAGTTTCACAAATGTTATAGTTATATAATTTAGAAGAATGAGTTCTCCGAAAAAAAAATTCAATTTGTATGCAGAAATTATGCTATGAAAGAATATTATTAAAAAAAAGAGAGACTATAAATCGCACTCTTTAGAAATTTACCCTTTTTTATCATGAGAACACGACTTGTAAAGAATTATAGTTATGATATATCTTAATAAATTAAAAATTTAGTATAAATAAATTATGAAACTCGGTTAAATAAATATTAAAAACTTCTTATCTCTCTTCAGATAAACGGGGAGAGAAAGATAAATTTATGTGATATTTTCTGAAATTCTACTTAGACTGTCTTTTTCTTTTCTTACTGCAATTATAGTCACAGATGATAATTTTTATCTCACTAAAAGAAAAGAGAATATATCGGAAAAAATAAAATACAAAAGTCAATATAAATTTTATCTTCCTCTTTTTTAGGAAAAATGGATGGGAATTTAAACTATTAAAGACAGAGTGAAGAAAACCATATCAATAAAGTGAATTGAGCTGCTACTATGAGCCTTTTGATTATTTTTTTTTTATTTAAGAAGAAAATTGAAAATGGGTTTAACACAAGCAAATGATTCGCAATATTTAATTAACTGGTTAAAAACAATCAAGTTCAAACTGGAAAAATATTAGATGTTCGGAAAACCCAAAAAACGTGAGAGCCAAATAAATTGGTATATTTGAAGGTTCAATAAATTTATTCCCTCAAGTGTGTGTGTGTGTGTGTGAGTGAGTGAGTGAGTGAGAGATATATATATGAAAATGAAATATATGCTGAAACAACTAATAAGATAGTCAATACAGAACATGAATTTAGCATGAGCTTGCTAGATTGATTATGCTTATATTATATTACTATTTCAAGCAAATGCCTGCAATGTTTAACACAGTATTTGAATAGTTTTTCACATTTTGTTAAAAGACTTGTAGTTAATTTGACTATACCTCTCTTGAAAAAAATTGACTATACCTCATGCCATATATAGATAACTGGTTTCCATGCAAAGAATACACAAAAGTGAAAAGAAAGAGTGAAACGGAATTAAATTATTTAAATGGTCAGTGTCAAAGCAAGTGTTCATCAGGGAATTTTAATATTTAATGCTTGTATAGTGGATCTCAAGATAAATGAAATAACTTTTTTATAAAAAGGACTAACTTTGCTTGCAATCCTTTGCACAAACGGTTCCAAAATTCCATGATCTGGTTCCCAGCCAAATTGGAACCCGTTTCCAAGCCATTGACACATAGCAAATGCCCGAATCCATTAGAGTGAAAAACACCATGCATCATATGGCCCTGTAATTCAATTATTTTTGACTTACCATTATTCATTGTAACAATTGCATCACAGCACCCTTCACAGCTCGTGCATGTAGCCAGTGCCTCCTTTGAGGGTAATAGGAAGTGATACTTCTTATTGCATATGAAATGGTTGCCCCAGCCTGTGCTAAATTTAAATCCCAGTGAAATTGAAGTAAGATTATTAAGGTGAGCAAAACATTCCAAGTTATATATATGTGATCATGTAACTAGGTTCATTGCTTCTAACCATGAATTTTGAATGCTATTGAGAGAAATGTTAGTAACATTTTTTTAAGACATTCAAATAGATAATATGTTTCTAATATAAAGAGTTAGCAACATATTTTTATTCATAGGTGAGATCCATTGAATAGGAATTGAAACTCACATTTTGTGAGTCAATTAAAAACCAACCCATGATTAATAACGTGTTTCAAAGAGTATATTAGGAAGTGCTTTATCAATAACTCTCTTCTAGCATTCCACATGTTATATATTAATTACAATTCCAAACCAAATATTAACATTACCAACGTATTGACAATGCTTGCAGTGACGATTCAGCGCAGCCTCTGTTGGCTCTTCAATCACAAACAACAAGATATGTAAAGGTGGGTGGTGATGAACTTCAAGTTGAAAAGACCATATCGGCATTCCAATGCTTAAATTACTCTCCGAATTCGCATATTCAAGTAATGCATTCACATTCTCACGAAATGGCCCACTAAACATAACTGGGTATCCAGGTTCACCAAAATTCTTGAACCTGAAAACCCTCCCACATCTCTTCCTTTTCTTGTTTCCAATTACGTCAACTTTCAACATGGCCTACACTTTTATGAAGCTAACTGGTGCAAAAAAAAGATGCTGTTTCTAGAATTTCAAGCATGTTGGAACCAAGGAAACTCTTATATATACATAATTATACTCACACACATAGTGCCTTGAAATAAAATAAGTTAATTGGACGCGATAATAAAGAGTTGCACTGACTTGTGTAGCTTCTATTTGCATGATCTGTTTCAAAAATAGGTGTCTTTGAAAATTTATCGCACTAACCTACGAAATGGTTGGTGTTTTGAAGTAAACTATAGGTACCATGCAATTACACCCTCTTCGTTTCCTACAAATTCTATGGTCAAATTAGAGTAGTTGATTCCAATCTTGTAGTCTTTGAGAAAAATGCAACATTTCTTGTCTAACTACCGTAGGGAACATATTTTGTTAAATGGAACTTGCATTTCATGCATAAGCGCTTACTTTCATAACACTGTTTTTATATAACTGATCAATTGCGACTTGGCGTTGCGGGAAAAGTGTTTCATTAACCAATATTAAACTCCTATCAGTGCCATCTGGTTTTTTCCTACTAAAGTTCTTCTAGTATAATGTCACGTGGCAATTTTTATATTCTTAATTTATTATTTCATTTATACTTTATTAATTTTTTATTTATGTTATTTGATTTTTTGTATTCTAACTTTTTAAACTTATTTTTAAAAATTATTTTTTCATATATTTAAAAAAACTGTAGAAAATTATTTTAATAAAATAAAAATATACATTAAATGTTTGAAGATTTTAATATCATAAATATCTTAATCCTTTTATTGTTTAATGTTAAACGGAGGGAGTCTTGTCGTTAGATAATATCCATTGTTCAAGCTTTGAAAGATATAATAAGAACTTCAAATTCAAACCCAAAAATAATTAAAGACAACATTAAAGATATAATTTTAGAATACCTTTCCATAGTTTTTTTGGTCTTTAATACAAGACTTTCTACAACATTTTAGATGCCTTTATTATTTTTTTCACATATTTGTATTTCATAAATATTATACAAAACCCATAAAAATATAATCCTGAATTACACTGGTATAACTACTGTAGAACTAACATAATTTCTATAACTACTGGAGAGTTGTAGGGTTTTCTGTACATAAAGAACTGAATGGTCTTCAAAAATATTTCAAGGACGGACATGATTGGCAACCTGGCATAGTAATGTTACCAAAGCAAATGAGATTTCACAAAAATAGGAAGGGATGGCCTTTCAGTTCGATCAGTAACGTCTTCCATATTCACTTCCATCACCATTGCCCATGAGTTCTCTACTATACATTTTTTCTTCTAGGAAAAAAAATCGTAGGCACAGTTCTCTGATACATACAATTCCTACTGGCTAAAATGGAGTTAATTATAATTATAAAAAAGATGGAGTAAACTCTTTTTGAAGAAGCAACTTGTAAATAACATTGAAAAAAATACATAAGCGTAGATTAAAGAACAGTAGAGTATGAAGTTTGCACATTTTCGGATCTGTTCTAAATTGAGAGAAATGAATATTAACCATTGAACATTAATGGATGATATAAGAACAACAATACTATCACATTTTAACAATTAAACTTCAGTCAAGTTCCAATCATCTAAAACAAACAATAAAATCTTACGATATATAAATTTTATTATATTTAAATTTACACATTAAAAGAGGATAAGCAATTTTCTAACGAATACTATTATGTGATTCGAATGCTGTCTGTCGCAGGTGGTACTGATTAGTCATGCTTCATGTTATATTTTGTATTATTTTTGGACGATTATTTGGTTTCGGTCAATTAGAGAATGTCTTGTGAGCCGTATATATTGGTCATATGAAACATTATATTAGTAGCTAAAACCAAACTGCGTAGAGCTGTATCATACCTAACCTAATTATTAAACCTCTTAGCCATATCCAATAAATTCATTTACCAGGAAGTATCATATTGGCTTCAATTGACTTCTATGAATATTTATCTTAAAAATAAGAGTTCCAAACTCTGCATAATTAGCTTCTGCAAAACCAGTTCCCGGCAACAATGAAGAAAGTTTTCTCTTTGCAATAACTATTAGCAAACATCAATTCATTAATCTTTTTATGCCGAGTTTGGTATAAAGATCACATAAAAAGGTATTTTTCCACACAAGCATGCGGCATCCAGTTTCCCCTGGCAATTCCTAGGCTGACCTGCTCCACTTCTTGCCCTACTGCTGCTGTTAACAGTAACCAGTAAAGCGAGTGACATAACACTCACTACTACTCTATACTAGTTCCTTAGCAAGAGTAACTCCACATGCTGCATCCAAATCAAATGATTCACAACCTGTGTCCCCGCTAGCATGGCCTTTGATAGAATCACATGGCCATCAAGTTAGAAAGGATAAATATTTTCATCATAATCACAACAGTGCCTCCACAAATGTAAACCAAGAACCATGATCAACTCCACTATCAAGCATTATCTACCAACTCGTGTGATTATATATCGTCCTTTTTCTAGATCATAAATGGTCTTCAACTGAGGTTTCCTCCACCTAGATATAGACCATGCTGTAAACAACAATAGTATAAAAATTCCAATTAATGAGAGGAGAGTAGGCGAGTCATCATTGAAAAAGGCAGCAATCCAGTTATGGTTCTGTACATCTGCATCAGTTGTGGTTTGAAGAATAAAAGCTCCCAAGGCCCAATCAAGCGGAATACTGCCCACATGATTAGCAACCTTGACCCTGGCCAACAGGAATTCCAGTCAGTAAGATTCACACAACAGGAACACAAATGTAATGACACAAAGAAACAAAAAATCATATGTTCAGTCCCAACTAGACATGGACATGAATAAGGGCAAGAATTGTACTTGAACGAAAATATAGTAAGTTACCAAGTGAACCCAAGAAAAGAGAGGCACACAAGTCCCAAAATTGCCATCACAGGAGATCTAATTCCTCTTCGGAAAGCAATAATTCCTATTTCAGTTTAGATATAATTCTGCATTCCATTAATTTATTGATTCTTACATTACAGTATACATTAGTTAAGGAAGATGTATTGTGTGTTGTAATGAAGGTAGGTTATATGAAATGACTAAACTACCCTTTTCTTTTTGTAAATAAAATAGGTCTGTTTCCTCATCTCTTCTTTTCCATTTTTTTAAATTTCCTCTTCTTTACTGAGCCTACAACCTCTTCCACTGCTGCCCTGAGCCAAGCCACTGAACTATTACAACAGCCACCCAACCATGGAGCTTCCATCCACTACCCTACACACAAGCAAAACATCAATCTGCCATTTCAGCCACCAAAATAGCATGAAGACCTCCATTTAACAAGAAGAGCACCACCCCTCTCCACTGTTAAACAACCACACCTAAATCAAAATCATCAATTTGTCAACTCAAAAAATACCCGAACACCATAACCAAAGAAAGCACATAAATGCAAAATGCTATTCATGGAAAATAAGTTCCACTAAATTTAGGACCCTACGGTGAATCTATTTGGAAGTGCTTATGAACAGATTATAAAGAAACGCTTATAACTCAAATTATTTTCAGCTTATTTCAAAAGGTTTCTTGATATAGCTTATCAAAATAAATATTTTTAGCTTATCCCAATAATTTTCATTGTTAAATTTATAATATAAGTTGTTGTTTTAACAGAATTTATTGAATAATAACATATGGTGCCATGGCACCATAACTGATATTTTAATAACGTGGATTGAACCCATCCTCAAAAGCTAATTGTTATAGTTGGGGAGTCCAACACCTTATAAACCCCACACTAGGATCCCATCTTTTCAATAGGACTTAGGTCAAATACCTTACAATTAGATCTCAACAAGGACTAATGTTCAATGCCAATAATATTATCAATCTCAATGTATTCAAATATCTTAAAAGAAAAATAAGCTGAAGTACCTCTCATCATCCAAAGCAATTCCAAGACTGTCATGAAGCAGAGCAACAATGTATGATGAAGAGAAGCAATGTCGAAGTAAATCTTCCTCATCATGGGAGACATATTTTTTCTTCAACTTTAACCAATCCTCTCCACAGAATTCTTGGCCAGCAGTCATCAACTTGGACAGATAGGCCTTTGACCCCAATCCAAAAAACTAACACATTATCAAAAGAGAAAAAAAAAATTAGTATGCAGCATGTCCAGCTATCTCTCCAATGCAACCCTTTAATCCACTAACAACATGAACCTTTGATGTGTAAAAGAAATTTTCAGTGGCCAAAAATTTCCCCTGAAGCTTTGGTATGAAAGTTGATCCTATGTCACAATGCTGATAGGAACATGATTCTGCATAAATGAATCGCCAAGATTTATACAAAAACAACAGTGAAGAAAATATCATTTTGAAGGGTAACTAACAATACAAACTTGTAAATACAACCTTTCCCTTTTTGTAGTAGGTTAAGTGCTGCAGATCTGCACTCTGAAAAGTTTCCCCTTGTTTGGACAGCATATTGATATTGTTTTTTTTCACTGTGTGAGCTAGGAGGGAATTTCCATGACTCATCATTATAAGAATATCCTGTAGGAGTACAAGGATCTATCCGCAACCCTTCTGGAAGAGATTGAGAAGCTGCACTGAGGAGAGTAAAGAATCAATATCTATTTATTTTACCATCCGAAGAGATTATGCTATTCTACCACATGCCTGCAGATAGTTGTTAAACAAGAGAAAAAGAGAGGCAGGATACCAAATCCAAGTGAAACATTCAACAACTAGAAAAGGAAAAATATATGGGAATGGCACAACTAAAACAGTACATAAATATAGCCACCAGTAAGCTAAAATATTTTGCGAATAGCAAGAACAAATTAATATTTTAACAGCAAAGAGAAAGCAAGTACTTCATCTGCACAATTTGAATTGCAGAGAACAAGTTTTGAAAGGTGTTAATTGCATGTACAATCTTGTATTTTTTTATAGAAAAAATGTAAAAAATCACAGCCATTAATTTTAACCATAATATAGCATGGTAATTAAGTTCAAAGGTCACTTTAATTAAGTCAAGAATATATAGAAATCAGTACAATGATGTGGCTCATGTAATTACCCAAGTTGAATTCTCCCGATATAAGTGCTTCTTTCCATGAGTCATGAGCAGCATTCTGCAAAATGAATTGCAATCAGAAAGTTGAAGACACCAGGGTATCATTCAAAGTCTAGAACACCTGATCAGCCATATGACTTGCAAAAAGAATCACATTGATGTAAAAGAAACACATCAAAACCATTGAACTTTTTGACAGAGGCAGGAAAGTAAAGCAATAAAATTGTTACCATTACCATCCCCACTAAAAAGTGACAGCATCAACGCAAAATTCCATTTGTTGTGTTTTTTTTTTTTTTTTGTTAAATTAAAATTTTGTTACTTATACCTTATATCATTTTTTAATTTGGTCTGTACATTTTAAAAAAGTTAATAATCAGTGCCTATCATAGTAAGACCGATAGAAAATGCTCGCTCGACTAACGTTTGTCCTACAAGGCATTTAAGTGATAATAACATCAGACAAGTCAATAATATTCTAATAGTGTTATAATTAGGACAAAGAGTAGGAACTGATTCATAAGGTTTTTTCCATGCAGGGAACAAAATGCAGGTATGTTTCATGCAAAGCATAGGTACCAAAATTCAAACCTAACTTTCCTTTTTTCTTTACAGTGGAACATCATTTTGTGAAATGCCATTTAGCATGCATAACATCAGTAGATACACACATGGTAACTAGCCAAAAGAACACAGGAAAGAGAGAACAATCACCAGTCCAAAATGAAGAAGGCTGTGGCTGTAAAGGTTGTAAGTGGTATTCCCAAATTTAACAGTACGCGAGAACAATGGCAGCACTGCTTCTCTTGCTACAAAGGTCACCTGAAATAAGAGTAAGTTAGAAATCCAAATGTCATGTTTCCCAACAGTAGGAAACTAACCATAAAGGTGGCGTTTTCTCTCTAAAATACCGGCTTTAAAACTTCCTAACCAATTTCAATAAAATCATATAAAACTTCATAGAGAAAATAATTTGGATCCAACAGGGCTGTTTGGCTTAGAAATTGTTTTATTTTCATTTTCAGTTTCCTCTTTTAAATACAAAACTGCCACTTTGTAACTAAAAGTAAAAATAGAAAACGTTCTCTGAAACCACACAACCCCTACGAGTACGATGTTGTACCTGAGCAGAAGCACCACCAAGTTCAATAATCCCAGTGGTATCCCAAGGATCACCTCCGAGAGAACCAAGCGCATAATTAGCAACAACCCAAGCATACACTCCTTCATCAGAACCAGTGATAACAGAAGCCCAATGATCCCTAAACAAGAAGCCAGAGGAACGCAAAACCTTCCTACAAGATTCTAGAATCTTCGCCTGCACCTCCGCATCCAGTATCCTCAACCCAGCCGTTGCCATCAACCGAATCTCCGTTTCCCTCCAACTCTCCCTCGGAACCCGACTCTTCCCGAACTCCAGCAACTCCCGGAGCGATCCCCCCGCCGAATCCGGATCCTCCGCAAACGCCGACAAACCCGGGTTAACCCGCATAGAATCCAACCCATCCTTCCCTAAATCCAACAACGCGCTCTCTACCCTGTACTTGAACACGTGCACTCTCGTGCCCGTGCTTCCTCCGTCCACGATGATTCGGTAACGGAATTTGATCGGCGAGGAATTGGAGAAGAAGGTGAAGTAGGAGAGGAGGAGAATGAGGAGGGAGAAGAAGAGGGGAATGAGGAGGGTGCAGAGCGACTTGGTGTTGTTGGTCTTAGGGTTGCGTGCGAAGAGGTTGGTGGAGCGGATTTGGAGCTTCGTCATCGGATCCATTTGGTTACGATTCGAACCGACCCGAGTGCGGGCATTCGATCGTCGCATCAAAGTTCTGGGGACTCGTTGATCATGTCAACGGTGGTGATTCGCCGGAGCTGGTCGCCGGCGGGGGTCCTCTCTCTAAGCGCCGATAAGAGAGAGGATTTGAATGAGAGAGAGTGACAGAATTTTTTTTAGTGTGAATTTGACGCGTTTGTGTCAATTCTTTTCCACGCCGATTCCCAGAATCGGTTCGGTTTTATCTGAGCCTCAGCTTCGGACGCGCCTTAGCTTCGGGATCGCTATCACGCGCACAATAATTGTAAATCAATTAGTAAATTTTTTTATGTATTATACAGGTATTATTAACATAAAATATCTTTTAAAAAAATAAAAAAAATATATTGTATAATTATTTATAAATTTTGTCAAAATTATTTTATTAAATTATAAAAAATTTTAAAGAATATTTAATACAGACCAAATCATATGATATAATGAAAAAAATAATTTTTAAAAATATTATTATTTAAAATAATTGTTAAAAATTTCATTTAAGAGTGAAGACTGATTGTTAACTTTACCATCACATTTTTTGTTATGAAATATTTTTTATTTTAAATTAATATAACTTGTATATTTTTTATAAAAAAATATTAAAGACTACTTGTTAAATTACACATCATTAGGGAATGTCCTTCCATAAACATTTTTGAAAGAAATGAAAATTTTCCAACTATTATGAGTATTTATAGAAAAATCATTAATTAAATAACTCAAACACATGTTTACAGATATAAGAATATATATTTTTATAATATTAAATATTATATTTTTAATAAAAAAAAGTAATCATTAATTTCTTATTATATGTAATTATAAAATAATGTGATGAAGATTAATCACAAATATTTTGTTAAAAAGGTAAATAATTAGCCAACAATGATTGACTCACTTGATAAGGATTAAATTTGTATTCCACAATAACGTTAAGTTTAAATTTTATTGTCAATGTAAGCACTTTGATAACGGATAATCTGTAAGCATTTTTATAAGCACTCTTTCCAAGTCTTGAGACATGTTCTAACCCTAATAAATATTCACATATAATAATAAATAAATAAATAGATATTAGTTTGATTATCGTTATTGTTTAATCTATTTATCATAAAATATCAATTTTCAAACTTCCTACAATGGGTAAATTTTAAATATCTCTTCTTGTTCCGCCTTCAAAATAGAATATACATAAAAAGGCTTAGGGTGGGTCATTTGTGACTGATGTCATTCTATGCACTATTCTCTTAAAATCTCTTTATTTAGAAGAGCATTTAGTGTGAACTTTTATGTGTGAATGCATATAAATGTACGTGAGATTGTGTTTTATTAGTTGATTGATAAGTTAAATAACAAAACAAAAATAAATAACATTCTTTGTAACATTTTTCCTCAAAAAAAGGTGAAATAAGAGAATGTTTGGGAACAAAAAGAGAAGAAAATGGATTTTAATTTACTAGGGTATAAGTAAGAGAGTAGAATTTGCTTCTTAAAGTGTGGATAAGTTGGATAAACTAAAACTTTAAATATAGAAACAAAGTTACGCATGCTTAGCTGGTTTTAAGTTTAGGATAATTTTTTTCCCTTGACAGATAAGACAAAACTTAAATGTCGTATTATAAGTAATTTTGATATTATTTTTCAATTAAAATTATAATTTTATTTCTATAATTTATATGATAAAAGTCAAGATTAAAAATCAACATACTTTTTCATATTAAAACTTTAGTTTTAGTTAAAATATAACACTAAAAGCACCTATGGAATTAAGCACCAACATATCCACTTGCACTGCATTACTCATTAGTCACAAAATATCCAATCATAGTCACTCCAATTGCCATTGCGATCGAGGAGACATTGCATTACATGTTCATACTAATAGACTTGTCATTAGAACAATTAATGTGATTATTTCTATGCTTGTGCTAATATTCGTTCCCTTTTTGGGTGTTTTGAAATTCATTGGTGCTTTCTTAAGTGTCATATGGTTGTTGCCTTGCTTGTATTACCTAAAGATAATAGACGCACAGGACTTGGATTAGAGTTATATATATAGATATATATAATTTTTAATAATTTTAATTAATAATTAAAAATGTTACCAGTGTACTTTTAAAAGTGCTTTCGGTTTTTTTTTTTCAATTTATGAAATCAGTGTTATAGTCAATAAATAAATTTTATATTTTAGAAATAATTTAATTTTTTATTTATTCAAATTTATTATCAACTTTTCTGTTATATAATTAATTTTTATTTCTTTAAATTGTTACAAATGTATTGTTACTATTTAATATAATTTAATTTTTTTCTATTCATTCTCTTCTCAATTCTGCATATTTTTTTTATTTTTATTTTCATAAAAACTGACAAAAAAGAATATAATAAAAAATATAATACTTATATTTCTCTTATAAAAATTATAGTACCGAGATCAATCATCTATAAGACTATTTCATGAAATATATTTTTCAATTGGACATATTTACTAGATTGGTAACTTGACAAAGTAGGAATATTAAAAATAAATAAAATAATTATATATAATAATGATTTATTTTTATATAAATTTAAATATATTACTAATTTTATGAGTTATGTTCATGATGGTTGAAAATAATGAATATATATATATATATAATTGTAAGTCTTAAAACTCTTACATTCAACATGGATATTTCATTTAACTTAAATTTAACGGATTATAATTTTTTACTTTACTGGTCGTTAGATTTAAATTAAATAAAAAACTCAGATTAGGTGTAAGAGTTTGTAGACTTCCATCAGTGTAAAAAAATCTTTTTCTATATATATATATATATATATATTCAAGAAATAAAGATGTAAATCTTGAGAATGATATTTTTGTTGCAAATAATAATTAAGATTTTCAAATTAAAATTGTTAACTTCCTCAAAGTTGGTGGTTCTCGTACATAATTAAATGTTCTTAGAATTTAGTTAAACAGGTTAGGGTTTGGACCATTCAAAAAGCTTGCTAGGTGAGAAATAACTACCAAATAAAGTTAATCACAAGTTTTTTAGAGTTTTTTCGTATGAAGACTGAAACAAAAGGTAAGTTAATGATAGGGATTAAATTTATAATTTAACCAAACAAACAATAATTGTTAACTATCAGACAACCATTGTACATTCACCTAATTCCTTGAGCTTTTAGTGCCATATAACATGTATGAGTATTTGTGTCCCAAGTTTGATCCTTGTTACTCCCATTCTTCTAAATAAGAGTTATATTGAACAAGAGAAGTGGTGCTCACACTTCAAGGCCAGAGAGCTTGTGTTGTAAATAAAAAACCATTCATGTGTCTTCACCTAACAGCTTTAACTTTTGGGAGAGCTTTTGGGACATGATCCCTACAAAGTGATCCACCAAAAAGTGACCTACATTAACTAGACAAGGACAAACTTCGAAGTCTCAATTATTTAATATACATACTGAAAATACGAAAACTGATCGTGAGAATATTGTGCTACAGTTCAACATAAAGAATATTGTGCTACAGTTTTCCTATCATGAGATTAAAGTACTAACTTTTTATCCAATCAAAAAGATTAAAAATACCTTTAATTTCGAGTCTGTCCTTGCATAGCAGACTATCGATTCCTTAAACGAGCTTCACGTCTCAATTGAGTTAAGCGTAATCTCTTCACAGGTATAAATTCCTTCTGTGCTTCTGAAATTGCTGCTGATATACATTAAGTAGTCAGATACATATGGATTTGATACTGATCAATGAATGCATAATTAGTACTTTTATGTAAGAGAAAAATATTTTGATGCACATATGTTAAACCCATCTGAATATATAAAAGTCATGCATTGATTTGCCAATAGGGACATGATGACCATCAATTTCATCTGCGCAGCAACCAGCATGAACATCCAATTGCTTCACAAGAATAAGAATCATCACATATATTAACATGAATTGAAAAAATATATCACAATGTCTATCTCCAAGCTTCATGAATCAAATAATTATGCAATTACTGAAATTTCTTATCCTTTTCCAACGGTACCCAATACAACTCTATCCTAGATTGTCTTACCTAGAGCAGGATATTTTGAGTGTTTTTTCCTTTTCTTCAATGCTCTTTTCTCTTCAATCCGCTCTGCTCTATGCTGGCGTGCAACAACCCGGTGATATTCCTTTAGCTGCATATGGTGCATATATGGCATCCACCCCATATTTGTATCACATTGCTGGATTATGCTATTTGGTAATCTGGTGAACGAAAGTCGATTGTTCTGCATTGGAAGTCGATTTGGAATATGCTGAAGTGATTTGCTTTGAAATGCCGATAATTCATTGGATCTAAGATATCCTTGAAGTTTCTCAGAACCAAAATTTGCTCTTAACTTTCCAGTACATGCAGAATTTTCAGGTAGCTCGTGCGAACATGGAAGTAAATCATTATCTTTCAGTAATGTTGCACTATTTGACAACCATTGTGAATTGTTCATACTTGTAAACCCAATCAGGCTCGTCATTGCATGCAATCTCGTATTGGCATAATTTCTTTTACACTCTTTCCTTAACTGTTGCCTCAGATTTTTAGTCTGAAACGCCTTTAATCGCCTTGCAGTGTGTTGATGTTCCTTAAGATTTTCATTATCCCACCTCACTGCAGCAAATTGATGAATGATCATTTAAGTAGTCAGCCAAAAATTGTTCGTGCTAAATACCCTAGAAAAGGTCAATCTTACTTTCTACATAAGCAGTTACACTACATTTTATAACTAGAAACATAAAGATGTTGATGACCAAGTATTGTACATAGGACAATGCCTAGTACAATAAGAAACTAATGTACAAACACAACAGAAGTCAAAGTAATATAGAAATTGCTTATAGCTTTACTTTTATATATTAGGTAAGAAGATCATAACACCAAATCCTAGCTATATCTTTATGAAGAAATTCATTTATATTTTAAAACTAGAATTTTAAGGTTTTCTTTTAATATATCATGTACAATATATAGAAATATATAAAATCATACCAACAGATGATTGACTGGCTCCTCTGTAAAAATTATGTGCAGACATACTTTCAAAAGAAGGATAAGAATCTTGCAGATAAATCCAAATAGCATGAATGTCAATATCAATTGCTATATTGACAGATAAAGATTTGTATCATTGCAGGATCATAACAATCAAGTCAACATTAGACTGGGTATTGTCATGACACTTTCCAGAAGTTACCTCAATCTATTTACCAACCCCAAAACAAAAGTTCATCAAGAAACTAATGACTAATAAGTGCGTGCTATATTTTAATTTGATACTGACTTGTGCAGTAAAATTTTAAGAAACATGTCATTTAAAATTTGTATGCTAATACTCCACATTTTGTCATAAGCACTAATGACTTCTAGTATATGCAATGCAAATTCTTAGTAATGGCCAAAACCTTTGTCTAATATACTATAAGAAAACAAACCTCTTAACTGGACACGTGCAAGATTAAGAAAACTGTCCATCGAAAAAAAATGTCAGTATGTGCTTTCATGGAGGCATTACATAACTGCAGAAAACTATCAATCAACTATACTGCATATTACTTAGCATCAACTTATGTTTCCTCTATTAAGTAACAGAGACAGGACAAACAAAATCAAGCATCAGGATTCATAGGATTAATCTTGTTATATATTAACGATACTTATGGAAGGTATAACCTTACCCCTTTTAGAGAAATCTTTCTTCACAAATTGCCTTGCAATCACTTTTTCATTATTATCTGTAACAATCATAATAACAACAGGTTAATCATAGGTTGGCAAACGGCACCAATACAAATTTTAATGAAAAAGCATTTGCTTTCTGCTCCAACTCAGTTAATTTGAAGTACAAATAGGTTCTCCAACAAATTTTCCATGTTTCTTCTATAAAAACTAAACTGTTTTAAGGATATCTGGTGAAAAATATAAGTATTCAATGTATACAAATTGAGTCAAGTTAAAGAATTGCCCCTCTCTTCCCATTATTAGTTTCCTCATTATTCACCTTTAAATCCATTGTGATGAAGACTCTCATCCATATGCTCTTCAGTGCCATATTTTACTGCATACTTTCCTTTTGACCGAGCTTGATGCTTCATCTGACTCAATCGAAATATTCTACCTTCTGACTGCTCATTTTTGGGACCAGTGATCATTTGTGGCGACAAATTATTCTTACTTTTACACCTAGCTTGATGCTTTAATTGGTTGAGGCGGATAGTTTTTCCTTGCATATGTTTGCAGTGGTTATCCTTAGCCCTCTCTTGATCCAATATAAGATATTTACATCTAGCTTGCCTCCGAATTTGAGTTAGGCGGGGTCTTGTTACTTCATAAAAAAGTTCGCACCATTGACTACTTACGTGAGAAACCACCGACAATCTATCAAGTAGTGATTGAGAGCATTCCTGATCTATAAACAAAACAATACAAATACAGTTATCAAATTATTCTCATTGGCATTCTAAAGTTCACAAGAAGGCATGTGAAAATTGAATAACGGTACATCACTAACCATCAGCAGCTATATTGCTAAAATATTGCTGTGACATATTATCAACCGGGTCAGTGGGTAAGTCTGAATTGATGAAAAAGGACACAACATTACCCAAATACTAAAGGAAGTTGATCATAAATAATTCGATATTTTTACACTATCAAGATTCACCTTTATTTTGGTTATTTGTATGCATCCCAGCCAAAAGATCTTCAGATTGAGCTACTATCTCAGCAGATTGTGCAAGAATCAACAAGTGATCAACACACCCTTCAAAAGCCTTTGTCCGAGATACCTCTTCTCCTTGTTGTTGGGCCTCCACACTATGGCTATCTACACGATTCACCATCGTTCTAGACAGTACACTATATTGGCAATAGCGGTTTTCTAATAATTCCCACTGCAAATCAGGCTGCTGCACCCAGCTCTTGAGCAGTAACATTCAGATCAAAGTTCTCATGAAAATTCCTAAACCCCTTTTCTTGTTGACCATGTTTAAGTTGCTTACTTTGCATAATCGTGATCTTCCAATGATTTGAGCAGCAATGGGACTCCAACATAAACACTATATTTACAGCTTGCAATCATATGTTTCTACACCAAACAAAAAGGCTCGGTAAATACAAAAGTAGATAAACATCCAAGTACAAGACAAACAATGCTCAAGTTGACACTGGCCATTCCAATAACTTCTATATATATATATACCTTTCATGCAATACACTCCCTATCATCTATCTATCTAAATACACGCATAGATATATACATCAACCATGTCTTTTCGTTAAGATGGATCACATTGAGTTCAGCCAAAAGAAAAATGTTGTGCATGTATTCACAAGGAAAAACTAGTTAGCACATCACTTAGTTTGTTACAGAACCAGACACCCACTTGGTCACATCCTACGTGGTAAGGCTGAATCTTGGTGAATCCAGAGAAAAAGAACATAAACGGTACATGAAAATGGGTGCCAGCAGTCCCACAAAAAATAAAATTTTGGACCTCCTTCAAGTACATAAATAATATTCCGTGAAAGTTTCAAACTTTATAGCCAGAAGTCAAATTCAAAGCAAGAAAGAAGCACCCAATGAGGCTTTTTCATGCAACCAAACATTCCCAAAATCCACACAATGCCAAAAGTTGCTCTGTGAATTTTAGCACTACTCATCTCATGTATATATATACTTCAAGGACCATAAAAATGGCACATTTCTGCAAAGCAGTGAAAAAATGCAAGTGGGGACCCAAAAAATAAATTTAATGCAAGACATTAGATAAAAAAAACAGTAACAGCAGAAAAATTAATGAAACTCAGGAGAATACATGGATATGGACCTGCACAGTAACACAGCAGGGAAAAAAAGTACATTTTATTGTGGTGTTCCATTTTGTCTTGTTGAGGTAGAAAAATGGAACTGAACTAACGAGACAGAGGGAGCAAAGGTGGTTGGTGACGTGAGGACAAACAAATAAATATCTGAAAAATATAATAAAAAGGAAGCAACCCTAATGGGAGACTCCGAGGAACAAAAATGAGAAGTCGAGCAAGGGAATGTCCCACTCTCCATTCAATATTATGATAATAGTGTAATATTATTACATTGGTTGTGGATTTAAAGAAATTTTTAAATTAGAAAAATTAATATATTAAAAGAAATTAGAAGCAACTTATTTTTTAAATTTTAGCAAAATTAAATAAAAAATTTAAAAAATTTCTTACTTATGACATGTATTGTTAGGTAATACAATAATAATAACAAAGAAAAGGCCAAAGAGGATTTAAAAATTATTTTGGATAACTATTTTTGGCGTTGTGTTTTGGATAACGTGTTTTTTTTTTAATATATTAACAACATGATTTAGATATATTGATTGATTAATCAAAAAGGCCATTAATTAATTCAATGTACTATTTGTTATTTATTTGTTTTTTAAAGAGAACCAATAATGTATAATTTAAATCGACTCAAGTTATTTTAATTGAACAACACTTATTTTGTTTGGTGAACCATTTAATCTTCTTCCATTAGTCCTTTTTATTTCGCAACTTATTTTAAGTTTTAAATGAAAAAGTATATTTCAAAAGTGAAAGCCAAGTAATGCCATTCAAATTTTTTGCATCATGTTTATAATTCCATCATTTGATTAAGCAATTGATATCACATTTATTATTGTAATTTTTTTTATCTATACGAGTTTATATATATATATATATATATATTCGTCTCAAAATTACTTCTCCCTCAAAATTAAAATGAAATGACAAAATTATTCAATAAAAAATATACAATTGTTTCCATTGTATATATGCAGTAATAAACAATGACAAGATTTAAGCTTGACCTATTTTACGTTAATTAAACTAAAAAAATAAGTATAACTTGTTAATTAAAAAAACAATAAATAAAAGGGGGTTCTTCCTAAAGGAATTATAAATTGGATATAACTTAGCTAGTTTCATAATTTAATTATAATTTATAATTTATAGACTTTAGGTAATTTTTTAATTACAAATTATAAGTTTTTACAAAATATAGCTTAAACTCTTGAAGAGTATAATAGAAAAAGCTTATTATATAACATAGCTTAAACCTTTTAGGAGTGTATTATATAAAAATGACCCAAAGATAAATTTGTAATATCATAGTTAAGGAAACATGTATTTTTATATATTTCATCTTTTATTCTCACTCGGAGGAAAAAGGAAGAGAGTACTTAGGTTTTTAATGCAACAATAAGACAAAGATTTTAAAATTGAAGGTCAAGAAGTGTCATTCAAATTATCAGCTGTGTTTACAACCCCATCATTTGATTAAATAATTAATATTATATTTAATATTGTATATATTTATCTTTATTTTTATCTCTTATTTATTTTTATTTTTCTTATTAAATAGAATGGGACAACAAAAAATATGTCATTAAAATTACGTAAACATTTTATTGTATGTATGCAATAATAGGCAATGACATGATTTAAGCTCGGCCTATTTTAGATTTATTGAACTAAACACAATTTAGAATATTTTTAAAAATCGGACTTTTTTAATAAGAAAAAAGAAATAAATAAAATGAGATTTAAAAAAAAAGGAATCTACTTCAATGACCAAGCAAGTAAATTAACTGGTAAAAAAATATTATAACTTAACAATAACATGAGATTTCATGTTTGAGTATCAATAAATGTAATTATATTAAATATTAAAAAATAATTTTATTTTATTTTACTTGATTCGAATTGCCCACCAAAAAGCACATAAATAAATAAATAAAAAAGAATCAGCTTCAAAGCGTTTCAGCCGAACCGGCCGGTTCAATCCAGACCAGCAACTGTATCCACTCGTTTCGTTCCTTCTCTTGTCTTCCTCTGTTTCATTCATGTCATGTCTGAATTATCAAACACAGTTTAACTTTTGTTAGTCACAACAATGGCATCAACCATTCTCCAACTCACTTCATTTTCTCCCACAAAACCCAACACAGAAGCCCCAAAACACGAAGCCACTTCACTCGCACATGAACCATTACCTTCCCTTCTTTCTCTCATACCCAAATGCACCTCTCTTAGAGAGCTCAAGCAAATTCAAGCTTACACCATCAAAACCCACCTTCATAACAACACCACTGTCCTCACAAAGCTTATAAATTTCTGCACTTCCAACCCTACAACGGCTTCAATGGACCACGCCCACCAAATGTTTGATCAAATTCCTCAACCAGACATTGTCGTTTTCAACACCATGGCACGTGGGTATGCACGATTTAATGAGCCAGTTAGAGCAATTATTTTGTTTTCTCGAGTGTTTCACTATGGCCTCCTTCCAGATGATTACTCTTTCTCCTCTCTTCTCAAGGCTTGTGCAAGGATCAAGGCACTTCAGGAAGGTAAACAACTGCATTGCCTTGCTGTTAAACTCGGAGTCAGTGATAATGTGTATGTGCGTCCAACACTCATAAACATGTACACTGCCTGCAATGACATGGATGCTGCTAGAAGGGTCTTTGATAAGATTGACGAGCCTTGTGTTGTCGCTTATAATGCAATCATCACGAGTTATGCTCGGAGTAGTCAGCCCAATGAGGCCTTAGCTTTGTTTAGAGAATTGCAAGAGAGTGGTCTTAAGCCAACTGATGTGACCATGCTTGTTGCGCTTTCATCCTGTGCATTGCTAGGGTCGTTGGACTTGGGAAGGTGGATCCATGAGTATGTCAAGAAGAATGGGTTTGATCAATATGTAAAGGTGAATACTGCACTAATAGATATGTACGCTAAATGTGGGAGTTTGGATGATGCCGTTTCTGTGTTTAGGGACATGCCTAGGAGAGACACTCAGGCATGGTCGGCAATGATTGTTGCTTATGCAACACATGGGCATGGTTCACAAGCCATATCCATGTTGGAAGAAATGAAGGCTGCAAAAGTGCAGCCTGATGAGATAACTTTTATTGGTATATTGTATGCATGTAGTCACAATGGATTGGTTGAGGAAGGTAATGAGTACTTCCATAGTATGACTCATGAGTATGGAATTGTTCCTAGTATCAAGCATTACGGGTGTATGGTGGATTTGCTTGGTCGAGCTGGGCACTTGGAAGAAGCCTATAGATTCATAGATGAGTTGCCAATTAAGCCAACACCAATTTTTTGGCGGACATTGCTATCTGCTTGTAGCAGTCATGGCAATATTGAAATGGGAAAACAAGTAATGCAGAGAATCATTGAATTGGATGATTCCCATGGTGGGGATTATGTCATTTTGTCAAACTTGTGTGCGAGACATGGAAGATGGGATGATGTGAATTACTTGAGGAAAATGATGATAGACAAAGGAGCAGCAAAAATCCCTGGCTGTAGCTCAATAGAGGTCAACAATGTTGTGCATGAATTCTTTGCTGGGGATGGAGTTCATTCCACTTCTACCAAATTGCACGGAGCTCTTGATGAGTTGGTAAAGGAATTGAAGCTGGCTGGGTATGTACCTGACACATCTCTGGTCTTTTATGCAGACATAGAAGAAGAAGAGAAAGAAATTATTCTTAGATATCACAGTGAGAAATTGGCCATTACTTTTGGTCTTCTGAATACTCCCCCCGGAACGACAATTCGTGTGGTCAAGAACCTTAGAGTCTGTGGTGATTGCCATAATGCTGCTAAATTTATATCATTGATCTTTGGTAGGCAAATTATTCTGAGAGATGTCCAGCGATTTCATCATTTCAAAGATGGGAAATGCTCCTGTGGGGATTACTGGTAGTGGAGTTTATTGACCCAATATTCATTTTTTTAATCAAAATTTAGAAAACTGGTCTATTTATTGCCACAGAATTAAGTGAACAGACACTGTGTGCAACCCAGAAAAAAAGGTTTGTTCCTGTAATCTTGGGAATGTTTCATAGTTACATAGTCCATGCTTGTATCAATTACTACCGTGGTATATAGCTCATTATATTGCTGATATTTTTTGTCATTGAAGTTTATTTACGTAAATAAGAACATGTATATTTGACCTTGTGATAGTAGATATATGCTGGTGGCCCTGGAATTTAAACTGTAAGTAATACAATATACTTTGTATGCTGCATTAACCGTGTGTTTAATTTATTATTATAGAAGATTCACTGGTAAGACATTGCTCAGTTAATACTTTCATGGTCTCTCGGACTTGTATCATGGCTTGGACGTCGAAATCAAGCAAATTCTCTTTCTCCTAAACTTTTTCTCATTTTGATAGTTTGAATAAAGTGTATCAAATTAGTTTGAAAAAGATTTTGGTATCTACTATTTTCATTCATTTGGGTTATTGGAGGTGTCCATTATCACTCTTATTGTGATTTTTGTCTAAAATATTATTTTTATACTACATGAGGAAAAAAAAAAGTCATTTTAGATAAAAAAATCATTTAATAAAAATGACAATAGATACCTACATGTGACAATAGTCATATCTTTGAATGATAGACCAATATATTCTTTTTTAACTACATTTTTGGTTCATTTAGTTTTTCATATCTGAATTTTTAATTTTTAATTTTTTTTAGCTAATTAAATTATGTGATTTTGTAAAAAAAGAATTAACAGCCAAATTATTTCTATTTTAAAAATCACGCAAAGTTAATTTTTGTCAAAATTTTCATCTAAAATACCTACATTCTCATTTCTTTTACTCAAAATATTATGAAATTGAACTAATTAAAAAAAAATTCTTTTTTCAAACCACAATTCCATATCTTAAAAGTCCTTCAATTTTTGTTAAAAATTCACTAATTTTTAAAAACATTTTAAATTATTTTTTATAATAAATTTATCATAAATCACACAAATATTTAGATAAAAAATAAGTGAAAAATTTAAATTAAAAAAAATGAATAAACTAACTTTTCATAATGTTAGAAGTAAAAGAAATAAATTAATTGAAAAAATTAAGAAACTAAAATTACAAATAAGTCAAATTAAAGAGATAAAATTAAATCCCTCTTCTCCAATAGCATCAATTTCCCATGTGAACACACACCTACAAAATCTGCATTAAAGATTTAACAAAAATTAAATAATTGAATGGAAACAAATAAACATCAACTTCAATGTCAGAAACTTCCTGTATGAACATTGCTGGCCCTTTATTTAGTTTCAGCCATAACTACAAATTATGAACAATCCGTTCTCCACGCCATTCTACCAACCTTATTAGCTCTCATGAAAGCACTGAAAAAAGTTTTGCAAGTTAGACTTTTGACCAAATTGTTTAAACAATTTATTAAAAAACATGAATGTTATATATATTTTTTAGTTTGAGCTAGTTTTGACCAGATTTATAGCAAGTTTTCTCTATGTGGAACGCAAAATAATATTAAAAAATTAAGTTTTATATTATTATAGATGAAATTTTCACACACTGAAACGTTGTGTGCATGTAGAAAGTTCCATCTAAGCAATGAACAAAATTTGTCTTTCTAAAATAAAAATAGAAAAATAAACTACTAGACACTTTGGCGGTGGCACATGAATTTTTTTTAATTAAGACTTTGTTTAGACGATAAAGTGAAATAAAAAATTAAAATAAAATAGAGATAAATAAAATAAACAGCAATAAATTTAAAGTTTTTTTATAATGGAATTTTAAGGTTATGGTGAAAATGTAAAGATAAATGATGCAATTGAAAAAACTAAAAGATCATATTACTCCTATAAATTTGTTCTCAAAATAAGTTATATAACTTTTATATGCAAACAACAATGCTATTTAAGATTTAAATGTGTTATTTATGCATTTTATGGCAAAGAGTGTGAGTTAAAATATGAGAAAGTTAGTTAAAATTTAAATATTTCACTCATATATTTTGATTCAAACGTAGCATAAGTGTAATTTAATCATGGGAAAAAGTATTTTATAAATTTTTTATTTAAACTACATGTATACTCTATAGATAATCTTATTCGAATAAAATTACTGTAAACTACAACACTTTAGAGTATTTAATATCATTATATTTTTTAAATTTGATTTCAAGATTATTAATTAATTTAAAATAAATTTAGATTAATCTACATATTTAATAATAAAAAGTATTTTATTTATGTCATTCATGATTTCTTTTTTTTTTTTTAAATAAATAGAATTGTGAAGGATGTTAATGTACAGTGGCAGTTTTTTTAAGTTGAAAAATATTATTTAACACAAATTTTAAACATTTTAAATTATCATTTAAAATTTATTAAAAATTATAAAAATATGATAGAAAATATTAATTTACAAATATGAAAGACTTAAAATTTATATAATTTTTAATAAATTTTAACTAATAATTAAGAATATATTAGAAAGTTAATGTCCCTATTTTGCTTTGAATTTTGAATGCATTAATTTGTTTGAATTCTCTTTAGTGACCGTTATCTTCAAGCACATAACGTGCAACTAAATACTTGACCAAGTCACACTAGCTAGTTTTAACCTTTTTATTTTTATTTTTTCTAATTTTTTATTTTTATTTTTAAAAAGAAGAGACTTTCCCTTGTAATATTGACGAAATACTATTTCTTTCTGTTATGTTATTTTACATGTCAGCACCTACGTGGTTAGTAACTTATTTTTCCTTTAGTTTTTTGCCCTTTACTTTAATATTTTTTTAATATGATCGATTTTATTTTATTATATTGCATATAAATTTGCATTTATTTTAAATTTGTTCTACAATAAATTCAGATTTTAAAAATTTTTAATGTGTTTACAAACATACATATTTATATCATTTATCAACGGGAAAGTATGATACAAATATGATTTTTATAATATTATTTTAGTTTTTTATCCAGATATGAACTAAACTTGTTATAAATGTTATCAAAATCGAAAACAAAATTACTTTTTTATAACATTTTTTATATTAAAAAATGGTTTTTTGGTAAAACAAAAAAACCCACACAATCAGATAATAATCTTCCATTTAATATCGTATAAAAAACAAACAGTTTTTTTGGTAAAACAAATTTTATTTATCATTATTGTACCGAAAGAAATCCTCCTCCCATTACTTTACAGCTAATTAGATTCCATGAAAATGTCATATCTTGAAGTGAGTAATTTAAGTTTTTAATAATTATTTATTTGTTAAATGAATGAAATATTAAATTATTTTTTATTTAATATTTTATTTATAAAGTATTAAATATACTAATATAAAAACTAACAAGTATCTTATCCATTGCATAAGTTTTTTTTTAATTAAGTTAAAAACTAAGTAGTTTCGATTTAGGGAAAAAGGATAAATTAAAAATAAAAGGAATTAATTTTAGAGTATACTAATTAATATTTGTGAAAAAACTAAATATAAAAATGAAAAGTAATTGAGTTGTGATTTAGGAATTTAAAATCTTGATGTGAAAGGAAATTTTAATATAAAAGTATCTTAATTTAAAAGGGAATTTAAAAATAATTAATAATTTAAAGTTGTTGAAAAAACAAAGAACATGTGTTAAATAAAAAAAAAGTGTCAGAGGAAAATATAAACATGAAAGGAAAATTTTAAAAACTTAACAATTTAAAATTTTTTTAATATTAAAATAAATACTTATAAGGTCACATGTCGAATAAATAAATAAATAAAATAAAATATTTCTAACATTAAAAAATAGAAATTAAAATTTATAATATAAAAATTAATTCAAAATTTAGAATCAAATTTATAATATAAGAGTTAATAATAGAAAATATTTTCACACTTCAAATGAAGATTGTATTTACATGATACATTGTTGCTCATTCTAAGAAATAATTAAATACTTTCAAATCCAAAAGAAATCATATCAATAAATTAAATAATGAAAAAAGAAGTTGGCCGACATGTCACCATTCTTCTGCAGCAGTTACACATGCAAACAATATCATAAGGCAGTGAGACATAAGAGGGATGAGTATATGCTGTTATGATACTTTTTCTTAGTTTCTTACCTTTCCCTTTTTTGTCTATAAATTCATCATCAATCCTCAAAACCATTCCTCAAACTCAAAACTATAAAATTCACACTCCTTAGTCATCCCATAAACTCTTTCAAGAAGAAAAGAGAGGCAAAAATGGATTATAAGGGATCAATTTTCATTAAGCTTCTTCTGCTGCTGCACTGTTTAACAGTTCTCTGTGCTTCACAGGACTTTGATTTCTTCTACTTTGTTCAGCAGGTAATATAAATTTCAGTGAAATATCATGATTTGATCATTATGAAGAGTCTCTTAATTAAATCATTGGAATTTTGCATTTGCAGTGGCCAGGATCATACTGTGACACACAGAAGAGTTGTTGCTACCCCACAACAGGTAAACCTGCTGCAGATTTTGGCATTCATGGTCTTTGGCCAAATTACAATGATGGCTCATACCCATCTAACTGTGATCCTAACAACCCTTTTCAGCAATCTGAGGTACTTTTATTCTGCTCATATTGAAAAAAATTTATTTGATCTTGTGTCTGCAAAGTTGTTATTTTATTAACCTTGTCATTCTCATATCCCAAGTTCATCATTTTGCCAATCATAATTGGACAAGGTCCAACATAATTTGTTAATACATCCAAGCACTTCTTTGAATCAAAAGGACTTTCGGCCCCATAATCATTGTAAAACTCATAAAATATGATTGCCTTTTTGTCCCTTCACTAGACAAACGCTTTCTCAAGTTCAACTTTTTGTTGAAAAAGAGGATGTCAGCTTGTAACTCTTTTCATGCAAAACAAACACTTCTAACACACGTTTTCTGATTATGTGAGTCGAAATCATCTCGTTTTGTAATTTTCTTTATCTATAAGTATGGAAAATCTTCATATAAAATTTATACGAATTAATTCTTTTATATTTTATAGGATAAATGAAAGTAGGGGATGTGGTGAAAATCATATCACATTTGTCGTATATGACTTTCGTGCAAGAGAATTCGTACTAACGATCATTTTCCATAAAAAAATATATGTGATTGATATTTTTTCTTTTTTTTAAAAAAAGAAATACCCTTTCTCCTATTTATTATTTTTTTAAAATGTTATTTTTATATTAAGGGGACTAAAGATCATGGTGAGACACGAATTCAAATTAGGTGCCGTCACAATTTGAGGTACTCATACAATTATTGGATGAAAATCGAAGGATTGGAATTCTAAATTGATGTTTTAAAGAATAAAGGACTTGGATGAATGTGAATTGTTTGATGTTCATTCAAGGGTTGTAATTTAATAACCGTAGTGATTACACTAAATATGGCCACACCTAATCCAAGCCTATTATTGATCCATACACCTAACTAAATGACACAGTCTAGTTTTTAAATAGTGGAACCCACCCAATAGCAAAAGAGCATTAATTAAGAACAATGTATTGTTTGAATTTCTTGATGCAGAATTTTTCTAGTTTTAACCTTAAACCGGAATCTAAATATATTTTAATCCCAAAAGTATTATGTTTCTATGATGATTAATTTACCACTAATTTGTCTTTGTATATGATGACAGATATCTGATCTCATTAGCAATTTGCAAAATGATTGGCCCACACTGGCATGCCCAAGTGGTGATGGAATACAATTCTGGACCCATGAATGGGACAAACATGGCACTTGCTCAGAGTCAATCCTTAAGCAACATGACTATTTTGAAGCAGCTCTCAACCTTAAACACAAGGCCAATCTCCTTCAAGCTCTTACAAGTGCAGGTATATAATAAAATTTGGTTAATTAATTTGTTGTTTTTGTACATTATTTTCATGGTCTGATAACAATATGCTTTTACTAAATTGCTTCAACCTTAAACAATATTATGCTTTACACATTATTACAGGAGATTTATAAAAATAATTTTTCTAATTTATTTTAACGGATTTTATAATCAAACTCATACTAGAAATCTTTATATAATAAACAAATATTTTTAGTTAAATTGCATGCTGAGTTATGCCATTTGTTTGTGTCAGGAATAAAGGCAGGTGGGGGATCCTATAGCTTGAGCAGCATCAAAGGGGCTATAAAGGATGCAATTGGGTATACTCCATTCATTGAGTGCAATGTGGACTCATCCGGTAACAGCCAGCTATATCAAGTTTACTTGTGTGTCAACACTTCTGGGTCAGATCTCATTGAGTGTCCTGTGTTCCCCAGGGGCAAATGTGGCTCAAATATTGAGTTCCCATCTTTTTAGTCATGGGTTTGAAAATGAATTATGAAATGTGAATGTAGATCAATAAAAAAGCTACAATATTTAATATCATTATTGTAAATATATGATTTTAAAGCACCCTAATGATTTCTTAGAATTTGTGGAAGTTTTCAAGTTTATTTTCCAGTTAATGTAATGATATTTGATTACATGTTATTGTCCTTTTCATGTCCAGTAGTGGTCAATTGAAAATGCTTTATTCAATAAAATGTTATATGCAAATTATAGCCAACAATAGTGCAATTTGTTTTCCAAGTTGAGTTAAAATATGCAGCTGAGAACAGGTAGGGATAAGTACTATAACAGTTGGTTATTTTATCTTTTCAGATCATGAATGAAAAGACATGTTAAGATTACACCTTGTTATTGTAATTTTATCAATTGAATTACCTGTCTTTTAAAACTAATCCTTCAAATTAAGATGCAACATAAGATGAACTAAATTAATATTTTGTTTGTACAGCATGACTACACGTCTCTTGTGAAATGAACACTACATTTGAAATAAAAAAAGTTGATGTTTTAAAAATGAACATATGTCACTGAAAATTTATTCCTGTATTAAAAATTAAATTATACATTCTTAAACAAAATATTTTTTAAAAGTTATTCATGATTTTATAGTAAAATTAGTATTTTCATCCGTTAATTTAAAGTAAATTTTAATTTTATTCTTTAACTTTTTTCTATTGTACTCTAATTTTTACAAAAGTTTCAAAAAGTTATTTTTCTTTAAACTCCTTTTAAAAATTGTATTTTTTTGTGTCATGTGTACTATGCTTACATTTATTGTTTTTCCTTTTAGATCTTTAAGTAATTTGTTTATGATTTGTAATTTAAGTGGGAGTGCTTGACGTTAGTAGTATGGAGATGAAATTTAAAGTATAAGAAGACAAAGATGAAATAAAAAAAATATAAAAAATAAGGTCAAAGATTTAAGAAGAAAGACGATAAAAGCACACAAAATGTATATGATACAAAATAACAAAATTTTTTAACAGAGTTAGAATTTTTAACAAAAAATTGACTTATTTAAAATTTTTGTAAAAATTAAAGTAAAAAAAATTAGAGAACAAAATCAAAATGTATCTTAAAATTAACAGATAAAAATATTAATTTTGTCTAATTTTATTAGGACCTATTCACATTTTTTTATAAAACTACATTACTTCTATTACATTGATTTAATTAATTTTATTTTGATTAATTGTATTAATTTATTTTCTATTATATATTTTAATTTTAATTTGATTTATAATTTTTCTATATCAAATTAAATATTTTTTCAAATAAATTAAAATTTAAGATCATTATAATCTTATTAAATATTAACTAAAATTTAATTTTTAAATCTTTTGTTTTGATATACATATCAATAAAGATAATATATCTTAATTACAATAATTTATTTCCATAATTTTTTAATAAATTTTAATAAATTTTTTTTTTTGCTAATTAAAGGGGCTAAAAGCCCAGACGCAAAAAAACAAAATTAGTGATCTAACCTAGGAGATCACCTTCCCAGAGAATCAAGACAAAGGAAAGGGAGGAGGGAAAAAGGAGCAGAAATAATACAGGGAGATAACAAAGAATCATCTAGGCCTAACTTAGCTAAATGATCTGCACTTTGATTTGTATCTCGATAAACATGACTAAATCTAATAAATTAAATAGGCTGAATTGCCTTTCTAATTCTGTTAATAAGATCATACAGAGGGTGGGCAACATTCTGAACATTGAGGATGAGGGTCAAAGCTTCCTTAGCATCACTTTCAATCCAGATTATATTAATGTCATACTTAGAAACAAGCTCCAACCCGATCAAAATACCCCAGAGTTCAGCTTCCACAGGAGAACAAGGGTCCAACTTCTGGCTAAAACCAGCAATGAAAAGGCCTTGAGCGTTTCTGATTAGACCCCCACAAGCAGCAGTATTACTAGACAGAGAGACAGCCCCATCCACATTAAACTTCCACTGATGAGCAGGGGGAGGAATCCATTTATTGCAAACCTGATCCTTAACCTGGTTAAAAAAAGACCCAGTCAGAACACCATGACAACTTGTATAGGCACTAAAGTCAGAGAGAATTCTCTGAATAAGGACTTGAGAATGGGCTGAAAGGTTATTAAATACAAAACTATTTCTATCTTTCCAAAGATTCCACACAATAAACCCAAATAAAGTATTCCAATTGGGAAATTGATTGAGATTCTGGTTAGAGAGATTAAGGCTTAACCAATCAGAAATACCACTACTAAAGAAAGTAACCCATTGATTAGTAAAAATAAAATAATCCCAAACAGCCTTTGCAAAATCATAGTCTCGAACCACATGAATAACAGATTCCTCATCATCAAAACATCTAGTGCAAAGGGGAGAGGATGACATACCTCGCTTGAATCTTTCAACATTAGTGAGCAATCTATTGTGAGCAAGTTTCCAAAGAAAAATTCTAACTTTGGGAGGACCTTCCCAATTCCACATAGCTTTAAACAAATTTTGGCTACTAACAGAGATATTATTAGAACAAGAAAACAAAGAATATGCAGATTTGAGAGAAAAAAATACCATTATTAGTTAAATTTCAAAAAATAGAATCAGGACCCTTATAATAGAAAGAAGAGTTACTATTAGCCACCAATCTGCAGATCTCATCAGGGAGAACAACAGTAAGCTTCTCCTAATCCCAGACCCCATTCCTGGAAAAAGAAGCAATAAGGGTTTTCTGGTCTAAAGAGGAAAGGGAAACAGTACTATAATTAGATAAAATACAAGTTTTATGACACCAATTATCAGACCAAAAACTTGCAGTCATTCCATCACCAATAACCCAACCAATTCCTTGTGAAAACATTTTCCAAACAGACCCTAAGCTTCTCCACAGATGAGAAGATTGGAGGCCTATCTTAGCCTCAGGATTCTGACTCACATTATACTTATATTTATCACAAAGAACTTGGGCCCATAACGAAGAAGGAGAGGTTATCAACCTCCACCAAAGTTTCATCAGATAAGTCCTATTTAGAGTGTGCAAATCCTTTAAATCAAGACCTCCTTCAGATTTGGGTGTACAAATAGTATTCTAACTCACAAGATGACACTTCTTAGCCCCTAAAGATCCCTAAATAAAACTCTTACAAATCCTATCAATTTCCTGGCAGACAAAAGAGGGGATTAATTGAGTTTGCATTGTGTAAGTCGGGATACTCATGAGACAAGATTGGACAAGGATTATCCTCCCTGCCATGAAAAGGGAATTCATTTTTCAAAGAGAAAGTTTTTTCCTAATTCTATCCAGGATATAAGAGTAGTGGTTCTTAGAGGGACGGTGATGACAAATAGGAATGCCCAAATATTTACCAAGATCCTTAGTCACAGGAATCCCTAGACAGTCACTAATGGATTGGGATATAACAGGGTCATTATTTGCTAAGAAAAAAACAGAGGATTTACTATCATTTATTTTAAGACCATAAGCCATGCAAAATTCATTGAGCACATCTTTAATAATAGTCGTTTGACTAATAGTGGCTTTAGAAACTAATAGGATATCATCAGCAAATATTAGATGGGAGATTTTAGGACCATGCCTACTGAAAGAGAAGGGGAGCCAATCCCCACTATTAATTTTATCATTAATAAGATAAGTAAGTCGTTTAATACAAAGAATAAAAAGACAGGGAGAAAGAGGATCCCCTTGTCTAATACCCCTAGAGGGTTTGAAAGGGGCAATCACAAAATTATTTCAATGAATAGTCATAGTTAAAGAGGAAATGCAATGCTTAATGACTTCAACCATGTTAGGACCTAAGCCAATTTTTTGTAAAGTATTAATTATGAAAGACCACCTAAGGCTGTCATAAGCCTTCTTAAGATCTAATTTAATAATCATATGGCAAGTTCTACTTTTAATTTTATGAAAAGAATGAGTCAATTCTTGGAGAATCAGCACATTATCAATTCCTTGCCTTCTAGGGATAAAACATGACTGATTACTGGAAATAAGATTAGGAAGAGCATCTCTAATCCTATTAGCAATGAGCTTTGTGATAACCTTATAACTATTTCTAGATGGACCAAGTTTCCTTTTGGTAGGTTTTTTTACTATCATCCAAGGGCCAAATTTTCCACTTAACATCCCCAACCTCATCTTCTTGACTAGGGAAGGTATTTGATTCTTTATTAATGGATCTAGAAATTTCATCATTATTTTTACTAACTATGGATTCAAAAGGTTCTGTAATATTAGATTGAACAGAAGGGTTAAAATCAAGCTTCTCACTACAAAGATCCATTCTGTGACCATATCTACCACAATTAAAGCAGATTAAGTGTAAGCCCTCATATTTTACTCAAAATTCCTGACCTAACACTTTAAAAGAAGGAACCAGTTTTTGGTTCAGATCTAATTTCACACATATTCTAGCAAATTTTCCTTTAGAAACTAGAGAACGGTGAGGATCGATTTTTAACATTGTCCCCAGACATGGCCATACTTGCCATAAAAATTTCTGGTTATACAGTTCTAGAGGTAAGTCAGGGATTCGAATCCAAGCTGCAATTCTTTTAAGATTATAGTCCTTAGGTCGAAAAAAATGTCTCCACCTCTGGACCAAAAGATAGTGGTCTAAAATTAGCCAAGGTCCCTCAAAAAGAGCAAATTTATAGTCCTCTAGTTTGTCGAATTTCACTAGGTAATAATCATTATTCGGGTCTAAAATTTTTAGATCTCCATTTTTTACCCATAAAGTTCCTAATTTCTGGTTTAAAAACTTAAAACTTATAGATTTGCCTAAGAGCTTTACAATAAGGGCATATTTTCAAGGTGAGCACCATTTCTCATAGTCTTCCAAAGGGATTCTAATCTCAGGGCAAAGATCCTTATTAACATTGACATCAGGGGCATCCACCCCTTCTTTTGGAGGAATATCAAAATCCTCCATTATAGATCTGAGAATTTCATCATTGCCTAAGTCCATAGATATATCTTTTAATGCTAAGACTTTATCCCTATAAGATGTACAAGAAGGAGAACAAGGGTTAGAGGGAATTTGATTCGAGGGTAGATCAAAACTCTGGTCTTCTTGCATAAGTTGATTCAGTGCCTCCTGAGGGACCACGTCCTCCACTCTAACTTTTTTAGAGATGTGGGTTTTGGGTCAACCTTTTTT